TTTTTAGATATTTGGCATGTAGTTTCCTAGTGTTCATGGACAAAAGTTATATTAAATTATGTCAATGGATCTGAGATGAGTAACCAATAGCCATTATGGCCTTATTGTCATATAGTCTGAAAAGATTTTCTAATGAATGTTACTTTGCAATGTGAGACTCTAATTACCAATCAGTGTTATTTTCTTTAGGTAACTTTTTAATGATGAAAGGTATTTATTTCTAGAAGACTTTATGTTTATTTTGTTTGTTTCTGCTTTCTCTAAATCTCTAAACAAAGATTGAAATTAAGTAATAAGTTTTCCTTGTTTGACTATTTTGAGTAAAATGCCAGTCACAGAGTGTCATCAAATGATATCATATTTTTGTTGTTTGTTTGACAAATATGATCTTACATTTGTTGTTATTATCCCCCCCCCCTTTAAAAAAAAGTAGGCTTATTTTGCAAATGTGGTTGTAATGTTGGTACACCCAATGGGCTCAAGTAATACAAACCATCAGAATAGCACATTCATGCAACATTCTCTAATGTATAACATTTTTATGAACAATAAAGGATATATTTGGACTTGTACAAAGCTTGAGAAATTATATTTTACTTGTCCAGCAGCTTGTCCAATTATGTTTCGCTCATCCATATATATTCCACAATTGTACAGTTCAATGTGTAATAACCTATAAATATTATACAAGTCTAGGAATGGTCTATAAAGAAAGTCTGTGGCAAACTTAATGAAATTTCTCAGACAGTTTAAATGAAATGATGACAAATGTAAGACTCTTTTTATCACATGATATTTTGGAGCAAAGAAATATCTAAATACTCAGCAGTCTCTATTTGATGTGCCATTTTTGATTTGTCATCACCCATTGACTTTGACATTATATTGAGTACATAACATCATGACTATTTATTTTAAACATGCGTCTTATAAAGACTAAATGAGTAGATAATTATCTGTCTGTCTTATAATTGAATGTCTTATGAGTAACCATGTCTAATAAGTGACTTTGTCTTATATGTTATACTGTATTATATTACTGTCATTGTCTTGAAAGTAACCCTAACTTATAGTCTTACCAGAATACCTGTCTTAAAAGTGAACTTTTCTTATAAGTAACTGTTACTTATATGTGATGCTGCTTGTAGGTAGTTGTATTCCTGTCTTGTACATGTAAGTGACATTGTCTTATAAAAAATGACTCTGCCTTAAAAGTGAGTCCTTTTTATGAGTAATCTTGTCTTATAAGTAACCGTGTTTTATAAATCATGACTTCTGCCTTACTCAAAAAAATCCTCTTTTAAACACCCCAAAGAGCTAGAGCTAAGATATTTAGCATGAAACATCTTCTAATGGGTGTCTACCAAGTTTGTTCAAATAAGGGCCCTTAGGTTAAAATTGGTTCTGCCCTGGGGGTCATCGTTTTTCCCTATATGTATATAGTAAAAACTTAAAAAATCTTGTTATAAAAACCCCAAAGAGCTAGAGCTTAGCTAGAGTTTTAGCATGAAACATCTTCTAATGGGTGTCTACCAAGTTTGTTCAAGTAAAAGCCCCTGGTTAAAAATTGGCCTTGGCCCAGGGTCCTATATACAGGTGAGCGATTTCAGGTCATCATGGCCCTCTTGTTTATTCTCACAACAGTATTTTAGTAATTTGACACTTTATCTGTTAATACTAAGATGAATATCATTTGCAAAGATAGCCTGATTCTAGTAAGACATACACTGCTCTTACTACATTTAAGATCATGGTGAAAGATTTTCTATAACTCATTTTTTTCACTGAAATCTGTAAGGTATTTTTTTGTTACCTGGGTAAACTATTTCATGACCATCATCTCCTCTTGTATGAAAGAGTGCATTATGCTGTCATGAATTTTAATATATGTAAGGGCTTTCTTTGTTCTAAAATTTCATTGAAGTTTTTTGTTTGTATCATCCATGGTTTGACTGAATCCTTTGAGATATTGCTTTGAATCATAGAATACTTATTTGTGACCTTCACACACTAACATTTAGGCTAGAGCACATACATCTATATCAGTATTCTGTTAAAGGAACACTTAAGTTTGTTGTCTTATGCACAGCTCTTGTTTTAAAATTTTTGAAGTAACTTTTTTTCTTGTAGAATAAAAACTTTTGTGACATTTTATGTTTAAATGATTTACCCCTGTTACTTTTTGCTTCATGTATCTTCTTTTGTCCTATCTTTATCATTCCAAAGCTTTCTCAGCTAACCGTTTGTTAATGCAGTTTATTGTACATTTATATTGATGAGAACTGTTGAGGTTCTCTTCCCCTTGTAAGTAATATGTAACCAGGTTTTCCCAAAGAAAATACAGGTACTGTTAGTAGATTGGTGAATAATGCAGATGGCTGTTACAACAGGTGAAAAAAAAAAAACGGATTTGTGTGCAACTGCTCATTCAATTTTCTCAACTGATTTCAACTAAGCTTTCTGTAGCCAAGGGTCACCGGCAGGGCCTTCGCTTTGGGGTCTTGTTTGGGGAATTGGACTCGCTGGCGCAGTAAGCGCCCTACACGGAAACCCTCGGTTGGTTGGTTAGGTGTGTGTGGGATACTGGTGTATTATTATTATTTAGTATTCTTTTTGTTATGATAACTTATTTTATAACTTAAAAGTCCAGTATGATGTTATTTCATTTATTTCTTTATAGCCCATTAAAAGTTCTTAAATACAAAATAATTATATAGTTTACACATATATTTTTACAGCTAGCACCTGAATTTTGCTTATGTTTTAAATACTATAAATGTTGTTAGTTTTGGAATAAAAATAAAACTTTTAAATGTTTTAAGTTTCAGTTTTAAAATAAAACTAATTTAAAATATAAAAAGCAACAATATAAATTAAGAAAAAGTTGTTATAGGAATTAAGCCTTAAGCAATATTAGCAATAAATGTTAAAAAATAATTAAGTATGGCTTGTTTAATAAAAAACTAGAAAATTAAAAATTAAGCCATAAAGTATTAAAATTAAAAGGTAATAATATTTTCTTATTAACCACTATAACATGTTTATACTAAAGTTGTAAAATTTATTAGTTAAAAATTTAAAAGTAATTTTTATTAAAATATTTATACAACAATAAAATTCTTTTAATAATTATTAAAAATGTAAGTTATTTATAAATATTAAAATTATTAAAATTATTAATGTTTTTATAATTAATTTTCTAAAAGCATTTTAACAAGGAAATGCTATGTTACATTTCACAGAAGTGTTCTCATGAAGTGTATTGGCTCATATCTTCAAGATTTTGTGATTTGATCATTTTAAGCTCAACTTTTCTACATATATTAAACAGCGGAGATGTTGTCATGACCTACACAATCTGATTATGTACTAATTGGCAAACAACTTCAATAGCCTTAAAAAGTTTATACATGAACCAGTAAAATAAATTAAATGCATGTCATTCATTTTCATTATTATAATTAATGGCACCACCATAGATATGTAATTTTCTCTGGGGAAAGATTTTATTTTTTATAGACAAGGAGGACTTAAATCAAATTCAAAAATAAGATGGTTTTAATTTCAATATGACTTGTTTATAAGTTATGTTTGATGTTAAAAAAAGTTTAAGTGTTTTACATTGACAAGGGCCTGTTGTGATAGTTTTTATATTGATATTTGAGCCACGTCACGACAAAACAAACATAGTGCGTTTGCGACCAGCATGGATCCAGACCAGCCTGCGCATCCATGCAGTCTGATCAGTATCCACACTGTTCGCTATCAGTTTCTCTACTTGTAAAAGGGTTGGTAAGTGAACAGCATGGATCCTGATCAGACTGTGCAGATGCGCAGGCTGGTCTGGATCCATGCTGGTCGCAAACGCATTATGTTGGTAATCTCGTGACGCAGCTCATATGTTTGTTTTGTTTAACCATAGATGATGACATGAATGACTTGAATCATAAATCTTACACATTACCTGCCAAAGGCAAATGAGACCCCGGAGAAAAAATGTTTCAGCGAGAGGTTGCAAATTTTAGGTTTTCTCAAAAAAAATATATCTACATCAATGAATGTGAACACTGGAAGTTTTCGGGACAGCACACCTGTGATGTTGAATGAAACACCTGAATTTGAATCCATACACAGAAGAGGTATGTTACTTTGTCTATGAGGCATACTGAATGATATTATGAGGTTATATTATATATTGTTTAGTACATTATTGAAGTCTATTGGATGAGTACACAGCTGTCAAACATATATTGGACAAAGCAGTCAAGTCCAGTCTGATATAGGTTTTTTAACTTTGCACAAGTCCAGTAGAGTCAGCATTGTTTTCAACAATGTAATATAATGACCCCTTTGTTTCATACCACCAATTCCTTGATATTTTGAGAGAAAAAATTGTTACTTAAACTACAATAAGGATTTGATATGGATTATTTGGACTAGGAAATGAAGATGAGGCTAGATGGAGTACAATAGCGATTTAATTTGATTTGATTGGACTTAGTAAATGAAAATGATGTTAAATTGATATAATTTGATCGAATTAAGATTTATATTAATGAATTAATATTATTAGATTCTCATTAAACACTACCTAGAGTGCCCTCATACATGCTATATAATATACTCCACTAGGGGACAGAACCCCCGATTTTCGACCTTGTCTTCCGATCTCCATGATGATGCAATGCCTTGAACAAACATGCTTAAATTATTTACTCCTTACAAATTTAACACTTCTGCAAAAAGTCTCTATGAGGTTTCACATAGCATTTAAGTACAGTATCCATGTTTCAAACAGTTCCAAATGTAATTCCTGTATGTTTCTCATTATCACAGATAATGCAGTGACTGTCTATTTTTATGGTTCTTCACTGTTCTTCAATGTTGGCATACTTATTTATTGAAGGCCACCAGGGATGTTTATTGTCAAACTCCCTGTTTTACACATCCCTGACACTTTAAAACCAGCTGAAGACTGTAGGTCTCTTATTACTGTGTACATGTATATGCAAATATTTGCAAATTTTTGTATACAAAATATCATAAATAGACAAAAAGCTTCACAGTTGTTGTGGAAGATCTATGTTCACATTTAAAAAAATTGCAGTTATTTATGCATTTGCTATGCTAGATCTGCCTTATTCAAAGTCCATGACATCATACAATAATGCAACCTGTCTAGTTGAAGTTATGCCTTAAGGAGACAAAATTTCACAGAACTTTATTAGACAAGAAAAATCAATAAAATAATTATATGTAAAAAAGAAATGTGATGCTCTGATAGTGACTGTAAGTTGTTTTGTATGATATATGTTACTGCTACAGTGCCTGTGAGTCATTTTGTATGATATGTATTACTGTTGCAGTGCCTGTGAGTCATTTTGTATGATATATATTACTGTTGCAGTGCCCCTGAGTCATTTTGTATGATATATATTACTGTTGCAGTGCCTGTGAGTCATTTTGTATGATATATATTACTGTTGCAGTGCCTGTGAGTCATTTGTATGATATATATTACTGTTGCAGTGCCTGTGAGTCATTTTGTATGATATATATTACTGTTGCAGTGCCCCTGAGTCATTTTGTATGATATATATTACTGTTGCAGTGCCTCTGAGTCATTTTGTATGATTTATATTACTGTTGCAGTGCCTGTGAGTCATTTTGTATGATATATATTACTGTTTGCAGTGCCCCTGAGTCATTTTGTATGATATATATAACTGTTGCAGTGCCTCTGAGTCATTTTGTATGATATATATTTACTGTTGCAGTGCCTCTGAGTCATTTTGTATGATATATATTACTGCTGCAGTGTCTGTGAGTCATTTTGTATGATATATATTACTGTTGCAGTGCCTGTGAGTCATTTTGTATGATATATATTACTGTTGCAGTGCCTCTGAGTCATTTTGTATGATATATATTACTATTGCAGTGCCTGTGAGTCATTTTGTATGATATATATTTACTGTTGCAGTGCCTGTGAGTCATTTTGTATGATATATATTACTGTTGCAGTGCCTGTGAGTCATTTTGTATGATATATATTTACTGTTTGCAGTGCCTCTGAGTCATTTTGTATGATATATATTACTGTTGCAGTGCCTGTGAGTCATTTTGTATGATATATATTACTGTTGCAGTGCCTGTGAGTCATTTTGTATGATATATATTACTGTTGCAGTGCCTCTGAGTCATTTTGTATGATATATATTACTATTGCAGTGCCTGTGAGTCATTTGTATGATATGTATTTACTGTTGCAGTGCCTGTGAGTCATCATTTAGCCAAGTATGAGGAAGTAGTACCTGACACTGCCAGTGAGAGTACAGTGTATATACCACGTACATCTGGAGGAAGTCATGATGAAAAGTCGCAAACTAAGCACAATACCATCTGGTTCATCATTTGAATCTTCAAATACTTCAGGTTTACAGCTTATTTATGTTTATTGCATAATTTTATTTTCGGTAATTAAAGTTGATTTAAAAACACGTGTTATTATCACGATTATCTAAATACGTACATGGTTGTTAGAAATTTTTCACAAGTTTTGACGTCAGCGAGTGGATTAGTGGCAATTAGCCTGGCTTCAAATATTAGGTGTGAAATTCTGTCATAATTGTATAGTTGGGACCAAAATTTTACTTCCAAAAAAAGGAGGTATTCGGATAATGCATTTTGAATAATACGTCCGAATGATATGTTCGTATTTATATCGACTTATATAGAGATAAAAACGGGACCGCTGATCTACTTCGGATAATGCCGGGTACTCGAATAAAGGGTTGTCAAATAACCGGGGTTGGACTGTATATTAAAAATGGTACAAATTTTTCACAGAAATAGAAATAAAGATCAAAAGTAAAAATAAAATTATTTAAAGTAAATAATCAGCAATTGACGGCAGTTATAAATGTGTTTGCTGCAGGTAAATCCTACATTAGAGAGACAGGTGACAGTATGAGGTCAGCAAAAAAAAAAGAAAAGGGTGCAGAATGTGAACAGCTCATTAAGCCAATCAGATAGCTTGCCAGTTGATAATGTGGGTTAATATCTGGAATTTTCCCGTCATGAAGTTTATTACAAGGCCCCTATTACCAAAAAATTTCCAACGTAATTTATGGAAATTTTCTTAAAACCCTGATTAAAATTTACATTTTCAGAGTTAACATGCAAATGACTAGCCTTTCCCTTAAAATTTTCCAAAAATTTTAAAAACCCAAAATTCATAATGTAACCCCATATAAAATAAATGGGAAAAATAAGATTAAAATTAAAAAAAAATCTTTTTAAAAAAAAAATCTGCTTCTTTCCTTGATGTAATGGTTAAAAATTCAACAATTTTTATTTATTGGATTATTCCTTCCAATCCCAAATTATGGGGCAAGTTCCAAAATCAACTTTTTTTTGTTATGATGAAACCTTAAAACATCTAATTATGTTAGAATTTAACTTGTGAACCTTGTTATAGACCATGCTTGTGTATAATATTTTGAGATCTAGGAGTGGTGGCATAGTGGTTAAGGTATCTGCATCTCAATCCAGGGATCATGGGTTCGAACCCTACTTGCGTCATAACCATGTTTCTCTTAACATAAGAAAATCTAAAACAGTTCAGGAATTTCAAGCTTCATATCTATCCTGGCATTTCTCATCATTAAATTAATCATTTTATAACAAAATTAGAATCTTATCATTTGATGTACCACCTTAAACGTATTTCCCACTTCTTTTAATTTGATATGTACTTCTTTGACATGTTTTATGCTATGAATGGACTGTAAATATTTAACATGTTTTTCCTGTTCTGACAATTTCAATGTACATTGTAACATAATATTGTTGCAATTATTTTTGTAATATTGTAGTTGTATATATTGTAAATTATGTTTTTATTAGAGGCCCACATGGAAGATTGGGAAACCAAATGTGTAGCCTCGATAAATAAAGCCTTTACTTACTTACTTACTTACTTCATATGACACCAGTTCTGGTTGGTTCCAGGAAGAGGACTCAAAAGTGATTTATATAAGTTCCTAGACCTTTTTTCACAATCAAGCTTAAATAGATATGTTTAAACTATATCCTCTGTTGGAGGTGTTTAAATAAACATGGATAGCTTACATAGTAAGATGTTTTATTTCTAGTGAAAATCGGACAGGATTGCCAGACAAGAACATGAGCAGACGTATCCGGATGAAGTACTCCAACCTGGACAGGCTTGTGTTCAAGGGAGGTAATCACACTGGGATATTTATAACTAAACAACACAAGCTGTTGGAGATTAATGAAGGGGAGCAAGTGAAAGGAGTAAGTTTAGTCTTTATTAGTGGTGTAACAAACATTTCTGTGAAAATATAAACTGCATAAAGGGCTAAACTCTTTTTAGGGCTTAAAATAAAATATTGTTGTTTCCCCTCCTGCTACCTGTCCAAAAAGCTACCAAAATCATTTTATTGCCAAACAATATTTTTTCTAAAGATGGAAGCAAGGTCTGTCAATGAGAATCACATTATTATTATTATCTTATGCTTTTGCAATGTAATTATATGAGCTTGGATGGACTTTGAATAAAATTTTGAAACTTTGATTCTGTATTTTTGTGAACAAATGCTAAGCATTCACAATTTCTATTTTTTTTCTAAATCCATTAAATCCAGATATAGATTATATGATCAATAAAAAAAAACTTACCTACCTACATGTATCTACCCGTTCCAAACTGGCATGAGTTCTAGAAGGGGGAATAGATATTCTTAGGCTGGACAAGTGTAATACTTTAAGCTCACCTGAGAACAATGGCTTTATTGTAGTTTAGATGTGGTTCTTAGTTTGGATCCAATGTTTAGAAGCATTTTTTGTCCGATAAATTTACATATTTCTTTATCAAATTTGAAATGTTTATGCATGAAGAGCTGTATTGTTAAAGTGTCATTATGTCCATCCAAGAGTAAATGTTGGTTACATTATGCAGGTAAAATTCAAAATAATTTCACATTCTGTTTTTTAGCTCACCTGTCACAAAGTGACAGGGTGAGCTTTTGTGATCGCTTTTCGTCCGGCGTCCGTCCGTAACTTTTACTTTAAATGACATCTCCTCATAAACCACTTAGCCACTCGTCGCTGATGTCTGCACAGCGGATTTACAGACGAGTTCAACATAGAAGTAGAAGTAGAAGCCAATTTCATCCAAACTTCACAGGAATGTTCCTTTGGTGGTCACCTTTAAAAATTGTTCAAAGAATTTAATTCCATGCAGAACTCTGGTTGCCATGGCAACCGAAAGAAAAAACTTTAAATATCTTCTTTTAAAAACCCCAAAGAGCTAGAGCTTAGATATTTGACATGAAACATCTTCTTGTGAGTGTCTACAAAGTGTGTTCAAATAAAAGCCCTGGGGCAAAATTGGCCCCGCCCCAGGGGGGTCATTGATTTTGTCCCTATATGCATATAGTAAAAACTTTAAAAAATCTTCTTTTAAAGAACCAAAAGAGCTAAAGCTAAGATATTTAGCATGAAACATCTTCTAATGAGTGTCTACCAAGTTTGTTCAAATAAAAGCCCTGGGGTCAAAATTGGCTCCGCCCCAGGGGGGTCATTGATTTTCCCTATATGCATATAGTAAAAACTTAAAAAATCTTCTTTTAAAAAGAACTCAAAGAGCTAGAGCTAAGATATTTAGCATGAAACTTGTTCTAATGGGTGTCTACCAAGTTTGTTCAAGTAAAAGCCCTGGGGTCAAAATTGGCCCTGCCCCGGGGGTCATTGATTTTCCTTATACATGTATATGTGAATAGCAAAAACTTAAAAAAAAATTCTTTGAAAAAACCTAAATAGCTAGACTTTGGATATTAAGCATGAAACATCTTCTTGTGAGTGTCTACAAAGTTTGTTCAGATAAAAGCCCTGGGGTCAAAATTGGCCTGCCCGTGGGTGTCATTGATTTTCCTTATATGTGTATAGCAAAAACTTAAAAATCTTCTTTGAAAAAACCCAAATTGCTAGAGTTTAGATATTAAGCATGAACATGTTCTAGTAAGTCTCTACAAAGTTTGTTCAAATAAAAGCCCTGGGGTCAAAACTGGCATCGCCCCAGGGGTGTCATTGTGTTTAACTTATATGTGTATAGTAAAAACTTAAAAAAATCTTCTTTAAAAAAACCAATGAGCTACAGCTTAGATGTTTAGCACGAAACATCCTTCTTATGGGTGTCTACCAAGTTTGTTCAAATAAAAGCCCTTGGGTTAAAATTGGCCCCTGGGGGGGTGGGGGTGGGGTAGATCATTGTTTTTCATTATAATGTGTTGTAGTAAAACTTTACATCATGAAACATTTCTTCTTATGGGTGTCTTCCCAAGTTTGTTTAAATAAAGCCCTGGGGTTTAAACTGGCCCCCCTCTGTGGCCCTAATATACAGGTGAGCGACCTCAGGGCCTCATGGCCCTCTTGTTTTTTTTTTTTTTTTTCAATTTTAAAGTAAACATCATCTGAATTAATCAATAACTATTGTGACCCACATAAATATCTATAAATATCCTTCATAAATTATTGTTTTTATTCATTTTAATAATCAAGAGTGGGACATCTTTTATTTTTTTTAGGCTATTTTTATATTATATTGTTAACAATTGTCATTTTCAGTTCTTATTCAATCACCATTGTAATTGTTAATCTTTCAAAATATACATATGTAATTGATCTCAGATTGACAGTGAAATAAACAGAAGAATTCCACTTTAAAAACTTGACTGATTTCTTGATTTATTTTCGAAAATGAAATGTCCTAAATTCTTTCTGTTTGGGGAGGTAATATGTAACGATTTTAAATGTTTCAGATTATATTCACACAAATGAAAGAGTTAACCCAGTGATCACAAATCTCAAAAGGTTGTTGGCTTAGATGATTTTCATCGTCTGCTAGGTGGTGAAATCATAAATAAGAAAAAAAGAGAAGGAACTTTGTCTGGAGGTCAGAAATAGCAAACAAGGTAAGACCTCACTATGTCCACTCTGTTACATGACAGATATTATAAATTTATTGCTCAATAGTTTTAGAATAAACTTTGAGAAACACTTTTACTATAGCTAAATAGATTTAACCTTTAACATATCATGAACCAATCAGTGGACTTTTACAGAACCTTGTATTAAGCACCCTAAATGTTTTTATCACCAGACAAAAGTTGTGTATGCTCCTATCATCTCAGAAATGTTATTTTACCAAAAATATCAATTGATGTCATTGAAATTGTTATAAGATTATTTTGGTAGCTATCTCCTATGGCAGCTTTTTGTTTGTATTATAAGGAAATGCAGACCCGAGACCTAATCTGTTGTTGAAACTTAAGTATTCAATGATATTTAATTCTCCAATTTTAAGTAATTGCAATTTAAGCTAGCCATCTTTTAAATATTGATAAGGAATTGTGGGACCAAAAAGTCTGTGTTTGTTTTCTATAGAAATGAACCTTATAAGTAGCATTGCTGTAAATACCCTTCAGGAATTAAGCTTAGATTGGGAAACTGGTTTTAGATTGATGTGATAGGGTTATTGGTAAGCTGTTTATTGCATTTAATTAGGACTTTAAGTAGCTTTTTTATTCATATGGAATGGTTCATAAGATAATTTACACAGACAGAAAGGTCTTTATTGTGCTTGGTGAAACAGCATGCGATTTTTTTTCAGACAGCTGTTCCTTCTGGATAGTGAATAATACATATGTTTAATTTAAGATGCCAATAATATGTTATAGAATTATGCATGGAATTAAAAATTGACATCAATAGATATATTTGAATTTTACTTAAAAGCTCAATTTATTAGATACTTTGATCATTTTGTTAGTTTGGACTTGTTTTGGAAGAAAGTAATAGAGGTATTGTTACAAGTCATGTCGCCTTCCCATTGCTGTTGCCTTTCCCCAAACTTTAACATTGATCATAACTTTTTGATAAGTTCTTAGTGTATTATCTTCATACATGGCCGCAAGAAGCCTTGGCACAAGACCTTCAAGTAGACCAGACTTTTCGTCCGTCGTCGATCTGTCAGTTGTCTGTCCGTAAACTTTTACTTTTAACGATATCTCCTCATAAACCCCTAAGCCAATCTCATGCAAACTTCACAGGAATTTCCCTTTGGAAGTCAACTTAAAAAATTGTTCAAAGAATTTAATTCCATGCAGAACTCTGGTTGCCATGGCAACCAAAAGAAAAAACTTAAAAAATCTTCTATTAAAAAACCTAAAGAGCTAGAGCTTAAATATGTGGCATGAAACATCGTCTTGTCAGTGTCCTATATGTGCATAGTAAAATCTTCTTTAAAGAACCCCAAAGAGCTACAGCTAAGATATTTATTATGAAACATCTTCTAATGGGTGGCTACCACATTTGTTAAAATAAAAGCCCGTGGGTTTAAATTGGCTCCGCCTTGTTGGCCTATATACAGGTGAGCGATTTCAGGGCCATCATGGCCCTCTTGTTGTTGTAAATGGCTATAACTTGGTAACTTTTGAATGGATTGTCTTCAAACTTGATCACAATAATCTTTTAGGATAGTCCTTAAATGACTTGAAGGTCAAATTATTGAAATTTTCAGTTTTTGCTACAACTGACTATAATTTTGTTATAAATGAATGGATTGACTTCATATTAAGACACAACATTCTTTAGGATAAGACTTTCATGTATACCAAACTCAAACTAACCTTGGCTAATATATGAGCTAAAACTTAAAGGTTAAATTATGGAACGTTACTGATTTTTTCTATAATTGACTGTAACTTGGTAATAAATAAATGGATTATCTTCATACTTTGGACAAGTCCTTCTAAAAATTGAACTGACCTTGACCTTTAAATGATCTTGACAGTCAAGGTCAAATTTTATTAAATTGTCATAATTTTGTTATTTATATATGGATTTGATTTTTACAAAACTAAACGTGCTACCAAACAAAAAAGAATATGCCATCAATGTCAAATTAATGGTATTTTCATGTCTTTTTCCTGTAACTGGTTATAACTTTGTTATTCATAGATGGATTAACTTCATATTTAGACACAGCATCTTTTAGGTTAGGACCTTCATGCTGAACTGATATGTCATGAGCTTTAAATTACCTTGACCATCAAGGTCAAATTATTGGATTTTGGTTAAGTTGTCATAATTTTGTATTTTTTGTACAGATGTGATTCATGTGTAGACAAAACAACACTTATGACCAAACAGACATGTTGAGTAATATAGATATGACCTTAACATTTAAATGACCTTGACCATCAAGGTCAAATTATTGAAATTTGCTTATATTTTCTTAACATTTGTCATTTTGTAAGGAGATGGTTCATACTTGGACAAAACAACAAGTTTGTCTTGGCAGACTTATTAAAATGAAAAAAAAGGGAAAACGAACTAACTTTTTAAAATTTTCTTTTGTTTAAACCATTTATTTGTATAGAAAAAGTTTAAAAAGTCAAGCATTGTCCTGGCCCAGTGGTGGCTCTTGTTAATATGCCAGTTTGTATCCATTACAACAAACACATACATTATTAATTTTTATATTATACTGATTATGATCATAAGAAACACTTGACAGTCAAACATCTTGTGTTTTAAAATGAATGCATGATTTCAATTTTCTCTAACTTTCCTATTTCTAACTAAAGGGTGAAGTTTATGGCTACCAACAGTCCCAAACCAAATGAGTGCCAAATAAAAAAAACTGTACAGAAATCTGTACAAAATGTGATCCTTTCTTTTAGCTCAGACATAATATATTTTAATACAAAAAGAAGTTGTTAAAGAACTATAGTTCTTGGGATGGTAGTACTCAAAATTATTTACATTTGCAACAGAAAATCAAAGATGTAATTTTGTGGTTGTTTAATGTTTGCTTGTTGCATTTTGTTGTATATTTATTGTTGTTATTATAGCATTATTGTTGTATATTTATTGTTGTTATTGTGGCATCATTGTTGTATATTTAATGTTGTTATTGTTGTTTATTTAGAGTACATGTCTGCATGCAGATGGATGGAGAATAACAATGGGCATGGAGATTACTTCTTTATTAGGTACACAATATTTAACATACTGTAGAACCTTGATAGCAGGGCCTGTTTCTTTATTAGGTACACAATATTTAACATACTGTAGAACCTTGATAGTAGGGCCTGTTTCTTTATTAGGTACACAATATTTAACATACTGTAGAACCTTGATACTAGGGGCCTGTTTCTTTATTAGGTACACAATATTTAACATACTGTAGAACCTCGATAGTAGGGCCTGTTTCTTTATTAGGTACACAATATTTAACATACTGTAGAACCTTGATAGCAGGGCCTGTTTCTTTATTAGGTACACAATATTTAATATACTGTAGAACCTCGATAGTAGGGCCTGTTTCTTTATTAGGTGCACAATATTTAACATACTGTAGAACCTTGATAGTAGGGGCCTGTTTCTTTATTAGGTACACAATATTTAACATACTGTAGAACCTTGATAGTAGGGGCCTGTTTCTTTATTAGGTACACAAAATTTAACATACTGTAGAACCTTGATACTAGGGGCCTGTTTCTTTATTAGGTACACAATATTTAACATACTGTAGAACCTTGATAGTAGGGGCCTGTTTCTTTATTAGGTACACAATATTTAACATACTGTAGAACCTTGATAGCAGGGCCTGTTTCTTTATTAGGTACACAATATTTAACATACTGTAGAACCTCGATAGTAGGGGCCTGTTTAAATATAGGAGGATATATAAAAAATAAGCACATAATTTTGCTTTTGAAAAATTACATTCAAAAGTAAACATATCTTTTTTTCTACCCCTGTAATTAGTGCAGACAAGGATCGTCAGTGCTGTCTGATCATGGTCTGCACTGTTTGCTATTATCAGTACATATTTTGACATATTCCTTAAAAATATGAATTGTTTGTCAAGTTTGAAAGATGGACATGTCCAATTAAGATATTTAGTGTAGTAAGGTTTAATAAATGGACCTTTTGTTAGGTCAAAATTTACCATATTATTGGGTTAAATCTTTAGGCAGAGCTGTCTGATGTAATCATGAAAACGAAAACCTACCATTACTATCCACGGCAATCCTTTATTTTAAAGGGTCATAAATAACCTTCAAGAGAGCACAAATTAATGAAGTCAAAATGCTATCCTCTAATTTTCTTGATATAATACCAGATAACTCATGACCACAGTTTCTGGTTCTTAAACTTTTTATTTCCCTTTTCTTTCTTGTTTCATTCAAAAGTTATTTTGATTAAGAAAGAAAACCTTTTTTATTAAATACCCATTGATATATATATACAGGTATACTTTTCTTTAATGAAGTAACATAATAATTGGATTATAAATAAGCCCCTGGCTTTAGGCAGTCTTCAGGCAGCTAGCTTTCCCAGAGCATATGTTATACATGCATGAAAGGGTTTTAGTATTACTTGAGACAAATGTTCACCACAATGAGATGTCATTTGGAGGGCCTGAGCCAGGTCTCTAGGACAAAGTTCAAAAGAAAATGCCTATTTTGAGCAAAACTTCTCTATGCATTCATACATCATACATTTTGATACAACTTGGCACATAAGCTCAACATTGTGAGGCATAGTCATAATGTTGTGTGCAAAATTCGGCTCCCTTTTGCCAAGGTCAAGGTCACAAGCAGAGGTCCAAGGTCAGATAAGTAAATGGAAATGTAAGTATTGTGGGGTTTTAAAGTAAATGTTCACTGTTGTGTGACTGGGCTTATTTTTGACAAAATCTTATTACATAATAGAACTTCTTCTATTGATATTTGTGATTGGAGGGCAGTTGGCTATGAAGTTAATTTACATATATATGTCATTGACATAGCTGTGAGGTAAGAAAAGACTTACTTAGGGGATTAACACAACTTATTTGTTAGGTTTTTAAAATCATTTTACATTTTTACCAGAAGCTATGTTCATATTTGATACCAGCAGATAAAGTAAATATCTTTTGTTTGATATAACATATAAAGCAAAACATGTATTAATTGATATCTAAATTTGTGTTGGTTTTGATCCATTTGTCCTATTCATTTATTACAGTAATTCCATATTGAACATGATGCATCTATATAAATGCTATCTGTAAATATGATGGAATAAAATATAATTTATTTGATTATGGTTTAAACCTGTAATCTTATTGCCATTGTTGTTCAACTTGAACGCCTCAAGCAGGTTTATGAAAATAAGTTAATACTCAAACTGATATTTAATGTCCTGAGTTATTGTTGAACAGAATAATTGTTTAAATAATAAAAAAAGGTAGGACTATGTGTTGCAAGGGATTGTCATGAAGTTGTAGAGGCTACAATACAGTATATAAATAACACATGGGTTTGTGGGTAACAGTGAAAATATCACCCCCAACAAATACTGTAATCTATTGTACTATTTTTTAGGGAAAAAGGGAAAAAATATGTGACTAGATTTTTATACTGTTAAAAAGTACTGTTACCCTGTAGCAGTATAAATTTCATAGTCACATGGTACACATGCTTTAACAGTAAGAATTACTCCCTGTAGCCTATGGCAAATTACCATTACAAAACAGTGAGCGGTAATAATATGGTCTGACATTATTACAGTAGAGGCAAATTTTGTTGAATGTTTCAAATACAATATGTATCAGTGGTAAATATTGCTAAGCCCTCCATTTAATTAAAATTTAATAATCATTGTTACATAAAGGAATTTTTTTTATAAAAACTGCTGCATTACATGAAGTACTTTGAAAATCATTTAAATGTTACACTCTCATTTGTTGAGAAAGATAATGGTACATAAAACATACATGTTGTCCCTTGATTGGTAAAGAAAATTACATACATGACCTTTTTGATGCTCGTGGTGCATTTTGCTATGCAAGGTCTTTGACTTCCTTTGGTTGCCCATATTTTGTTATTTATCTTTTGCTTGGGCTCATAAAAGTGAACCTATGTCACATTGCCAGTGATGATATTTGAGAAAGATTGATTGTTGTATTTAGGGAATTGTTTCAACAATTATTTGGAGATTCTTACTCGAGCAAGGTTTTGCTCTTGTTTAAGGAGATGGGGTATCCATCTAGCACTTATTCTTCTCATCTTTAAATCACATCTGAGAATTGTATGAGCGGCTCCTACTATATACTTAGTTGTAAATCTTGCATCAGTAGCAATCAAATCCTTAACTTTATCAACCATTTTTGGCGAAGTTGCAGTTTTCGGATGGTGTGCATGAGGTGCATCTTTTACGGAATCCACACCACTTTTAAATTTCTTACACCACCATGTGACAAATAAAAAAGAAAGTTCATTGTTCCCATAAACACAACATATTTCATTTAATATGTCTTTTGCCTGTATAACAAGAATACAGCGGTTCTTGACATAGGACATTATTTGGTCAGTGAAAGGAAACCTTTTCCCAACCATTTTAGCTAGTAGGTACATTGTAGATAGCGTAAATCCAACTATTGTCAAAGCTATACTGAACTGATTTACACATGTATTGTATCTTTTGAGAGCTTACACAACCATCTATGCGATACATGTAATAGTTCTTGCAAAATTACACCCCTGGTATAGCTAGGAGGAGTGGGGGCATTTGTGTTCTTTGGACACATTTCTAGTTTTAATCTATGTAAGAATTTCAAATTTTATGTTTTAAGGCTTTTTGACCTCAGTGGAGCGCTTTTAAGATGAATGTTACTGGAAATATCCTGTTTTGTTTGATTTATAGATAACTTATGATATAAGTTGTCAGACAGTATAAAAAAAAAAAAATGTTACAAAATATAGTTTTCTGGAGTGAGTTGCTGTTGACAAAGTAAAGGTATTTCATGTACACAGTATGATTTTATAATTGATATATTACTACAGATGTAATGCAAACCTAGACAGCAAAAATGATGACACAACAAACTTGAAGCCTGGTGATATATTCCTGGTGAAGAATTCCCGTTGTGTTGATGAACAATGGCAAGGTCACATGGTGGATGCAGCAACTGGTGACGTGGCAACAGCAACCCTATCTCTTATACCCAACATGCAACTGTAAGTCTTAGAACTATGTCAATGTAAATATTTAGATTAAAATTTCTATATATATTAAACATTTGAAATAGACTAAAATTTGTCATAGCTGAACCGCAGCTTATAAGCAATTTTTCCTAATTTCTAATATTGTTCACAAGTTTTTAAAGATTTATTTTATTTGACCAGTCCTATATCATATTTGTTGTTTGTACTACATTTGTATTAACCTTTACTCAAAATGTTGATGAGATCATTTACTTTAATTTCACATACTGTTATTAATTTTTCATCATTAATTTGATCCTTTAAATTTTTAGAGCCATGCGTTCCCTGGCACGATACAGGTGTAACAGCGTTGAAGAGGAAGAATCAGGGAAAAGGCGTGGCTTCAAAATAAGAGGTAAAAATGATAAAAGACAGGATGCTTTGTATGTAGATTAAAGTTCAGAGAAAGGATATTTGTATAGTATTATGAGTTGCAGACATGATAAATCTCTGTTTTGATATATTTAACTTATTATAGACTATTTAGTCATTTTGATAAAATCAAATAAATTTTAATTGCAGGTCAAGCTTATGATAGAGTGCTACCAATGAAAGGTAAAGAAAATTTATATGATTAAATTTTCATATCAGTAAAGAATTATTACCACATTTTAAATAACACATTTGATTGTCACATAATGCTAGAACTGTACTAGCATCTGTTTTCAGTCTGTTATAGCTGTAGGCTTTCAATATTTGAATATTGTAATGAATTATATTGTTTAATTAGTATATTGATTGATTAACTACAAGCAGGAATTAATATAGAAGATTATTCATAAATTTAATGAGACCTTGACTAGGCAGGTTTTTTAATGGCATATATTTATTCATATCAGCTGAAGAGATAATAACATTACCTATGATAATATACTTGAATGTTACCAGTTGCCAATGAATTTGCCAAAGAATTGTAATATATGAGCTAACAACTTGTGTCATTCTGAATGGTTGCTACTGTTTTTATATTGACATTTGACATAATTGTCAAATGATAATTATTGAATGATAGAATGATAACTATTTTATAGAGTTTATTGAAACTTTTGAAATATTTTTGAATATGATAAAAAAGACACTTAAAAGGGGAAAAACATAGAAGTCACATATCTCATTTTTAGCTCACCTGTCACAAAGACAGTAAGACAGTAAGACAAACTTTATTTATAGTCGGTTATGGTTAACAGTACAAAACATAAGCTTTAAGCTTGTATCCGACATGAACAAAATACATGTATAGAAAATAATAACAAGAAACAAAGAAACAAAAATAAACAGACACCATAAGATAATAATACATACAATTAATTTATATAGTCATTGTAATGAGATCTGAGCATTTACAATGAAAATACAGTCATATCTATTAAAGGTAGTATAACAGGGTTTTACATATATACAGATACATAGTACATAATTCAAGGAAAAGACTAAATTTATTTACAAGCAAAAAACAGGAATCAAGTAAAATAGAACATAAACCATTAGATGCACATAGAGCAGGCACACTTGTCATTACTCCATGTTTCAATTAGTTTTTGCTATACACATATAAGGAAAATCAATGACCCCCAGGGCAGGGCCATTTTTAACCCCAGGGCTTTTATTTGAACAAACTTGGTAGACACCCATTAGAACATGTTTATATTTTATTTTATTTTAGAACCCTGTTATACTACCTAAAGTGACAGGGTGAGCTTTTGTGATCACTTTTCGTCCGGCGTCCGTCCGTCCGTCCGTCCGTAAACTTTTACTTTAAATGACATCTCCTCATAAACCACTAAGCAAATTTCATCCAAACTTCACAGGAATGTTCCTTTGGTGGTCACCTTTAAAAATTGTTCAAAGAATTTAATTCCATGCAGAACTCTGGTTGCCATGGCAACCAAAAGAAAAAACTTTATATATTTTCTTTTAAAAAACCCTAAGAGCTAGAGCTTAGATATTTGGCATGAAACATCTTCTAGTGAGTGTCTACCAAGTTTGTTCAAATAAAAGCCCTGGGGTCAAAATTGGCCCTGCCCCAGGGGGTCATTGATTTTCCCTATATGCATATAGTAAAAACTTAAAAAATCTTCTTTTAAAGAACCCAAAGTGCTAGAGCTGAGATATTTAGCATGAAACATCTTCTAGTGAGTGTCTATCAAGTTTGTTCAAATAAAAGCCCTGGGGTCAAAATAGGCCCTGCCCCAGGGGGTCATTGATTTTCCCTATATGCATATGGTAAAAACTTAAAAACCCAAAGAGCTAGAGCTAAGATATTTGGCATAAAACAACTTCTAGTGAGTGTCTACAAAGTTTGTTCAAATAAAAGCCATGGGGTCAAAATTGGCCCCGCCCCAGGGGGTCATTGATTTTCCCTATATGCATATAGTAAAAACTTAAAAAATCTTCTTTTAAAGAACCCAAAGAGCTAAGGCTAAGATATTTATCATGAAACATCTTCTAATGAGTGTCTATCAAGTTTGTTCAAATAAAAGCCCAGGGGAAAAAATAGGCCCTGCCCCAGGGGGTCATTGATTTTCCCTATATGCATATGTAAAAAACTTAAAAAATCATCTTTTAAAGAACCCAAAGAGCTAGAGCTTAGATATTTAGCATGAAACATGTTCTAATGGGTGTCTACCAAGTTTGTTAAAGTAAAAGCCCTGGGGTTAAAAATGGCCCTGCCCTGGGGGTCATTGATTTTCCTTATATGTGTATAGCAAAAACTTTAAAACCTTCTTTGAAAAAACCCAAATAGCTAGAGTTTAGATATTAAGCATGAAACATCTTCTAGTGAGTGTCTACAAAAATTGTTCAAATAAAAGCCCTGAGGTCAAAATTGGCCCCGCCCCGGGGGTCATTGATTTTCCTTATATGTGTATAGCAAAAACTTAAAAATCTTCTTTGAAAAAACCCAAATAGCTAGAGTTTAGATATTAAGCATGAAACATCTTCTAGTAAGTCTCTACAAAGTTTGTTCAAATAAAAGCCATGGGGTCAAAACTGACCCCGCCCCAGGGGTGTCATTGTTTCTAACTTTATTTGTATAGTAAAACCTTTAAAAATCTTCTTTTAAAAAACCCAATGAGCTAGGCATGAAACAGCTTCTTATGGGTGTCTACCACGTTTGTTCAAATAAAAGCCCTTGGGTTAAAATTGGCCCTGCCCGGGGGGGGGGGAGGGAGGGGCAGGGTGCCTATATACAGGTGAGCGACCTCAGGGCCATCATGGCCCTCTTGTTAGATTATCTGCCCTTGAATTTGTTTTATTGTTTTTATTAAAGGTCATTTTAAGGACAGATATTTAATACATCAGTCTGAAAACTCTTATTTTTACTTTTGGTTTATGTTTTTCATTTTATCCTTGGTCACAACACAAACTTTTATGGAATTCCATATAAAATTATATTTAATACAGAATACATTCTGCTATTTTCAGCTTCAACAAAACTCCCAGTTCACATTATTGGACCAGACAGTCAAGTGACATCTGCTATGCTGGACTTGATCTCAGCTAATCTATCACATAAATTCTTTGTTGACACAAATAATAGAGGTAATATACTTAGTGGCAACAATAGTGTCTGTGTGGGAGATAAAATTATATCTTTTATAGCCAACTAACATGTTCTTACCTTAATGTATGGTTAAATATTTTGCATTGCTCTTGACTAATTTAATTTTAAATACATATTTAATTTTTACAAATGCAGATATATTTGAAGTGAGAAGTTGTAAGTTTGTTTTTCTGTACTACAACTATGAAACCTGAAAAAGTTCAATATTGTCACCTTAGTGAGTAATGGGTCAATATATTAATTAATTCCTTATATAATTGAATAGGTGTTAACCTATTACTACTCTAAGTTGACGATATTTCTTAATTTTAAGTTAAATACATTAATTGATATGAAATTCTTTACTTTTTCATGGTTGATGATATCTGAAAAAATAAATTTTACCTAATTCAAGTATAATATTTATATAGATATGACATTGTTTATTGATCATTGTATGATATAATATTTTAGATTCAGGGAGTGCAGCTGATGCTGGTGGGGAAATGGAGCTTTACAGACAGGTATATATCTTTCTTATATTCATTTTCCATTCATTATATAGAGTGAATTTATTGAACAAGTTGAATACAATTATTCAACAAGTGCATTAAATTCAGTAATGAATGTACACAAATATAATATTCTATTTATCACATAACCAAAATGAAGACTGTTTAAAGTGAAAAAGAATAATATTATTTTTCATCAACAAGCCTATAGTGTAATGCTAGCATTTTGCGTGTATTTAAGATATGTTTGTATAACGCAAATGATGTATGCATGGCGGTGCAATACAATTATTACGAAGTTGCAAAATCGGCATGGGTATTATGATAAATTGTTATAACTCAAAACTTGCTGAATTGATGTACTGGATTATCCTGATCTAAATTTGGAACAGTCTATTCAAACTTAGAGATTTCAATGAAAAAAAATTCAAGCTACCAATATAGTATAAAGTCTGATCAGACTTCACGGACATGCAGACAGAACTAAGAACTTGTTCTGTAATGGTGTTAGAATATCTTTATTTGATGACAGTGATAAAATATGATCATATCTGACTATACATGTTAAAATGGTCACAAAGTAATTACTAATACATATGTATGGGAATTCAGTTAGAATTGTTATATAATTTTTCTATATATTTCTGTCTATAAATCTCTTGGAATTCATTGTCATTCTGTAATTTATGATATACATTTTACTATAGATGAAATAGAAAACGCTATTAAATCACTTAAGAACAATAAAGCTTGCGGTGTTGATCGTATAGTAAACGAACATATAAAAGAGTCATTCCATATCTTCAAGACCATATATGTTAAACTTTTTAATATTATTTTTAGCAAAAGTTGTATTCCAAAATGTTGGACAATTGGTGTTATAAATCCTATTTACAAAAATAAAGGGGATGCGACTGATCCATCGAATTATAGATCAATTACACTTCTTAGCTGCTTAGGGAAATTGTATACTGCTGTTTTAAATATCCGACTGCAAAAATTTACATCTAATCATGATATTATAAATGAATATCAGGCTGGTTTTAGAAAAGGTTATTCAACTATTGATAACATGTTTGTATTAAATACTCTTGTCGATTTGCTCAGAAATAGTAAAAAGAAATTGTTTTGTGCTTTCATCGATTTAAAATGTGCCTTCGACAAAGTTTGGAGACCAGGTTTATGGTCAAAATTATTGTCATATAATATCAATGGAAAATTTATAAACACAATTAAAAACATATATGAAAATGCAAAGTCATGTGTATGTGGTAATGGTAATATGTCAGATTATTTCAAACCATCATAATATTGGAGTACGTCAAGGTGAAAATCTTCCACCGATTTTGTTTTCATTGTATTTAAATGATTATATGAATATTTAAGTACCAATAATGTTTCCGGTGTAACATGTAACAGTCACGATTTAGAGGATAGTGCTTTTAACTATGTAAAACTGTTCTTTTTGTTGTACGCAGATGACACTGTAATTTTTGCTGAAACAAAAGATGACTTACAACATGGTTTAAATATTTATAAAAACTATTGTGATACCTGGAAACTTACGCTCAATACAACAAAAACTAAAATTTTGATTTTTACAAGTGGACGACGCATGTCATATAATTTTACTTACGGAAATGAACTTTTAGAAGTTGTAGACGAGTATAAGTATCTTGGTATTCTTTTCAGTAGAAGTGGTTCCTTTTTCAAAGCAAAATTATCTATCGTGAAACAGGGATCCATTTAAAGCTATGTATAGCCTTATAAAAAATGTAAAAAGTTAGAATTGCCAATTGACATGCAAATAGATTTATTTAACAAAATTGTAAAAACCTGTCCTACTGTACTGATGTGAGTAATATTATGGATTGGTAATATTGATTGTATTGAAAGAGTACAGCTTAAATTTTTAAACTATATTCTAGGTTTAAAGTCAAGTACACCAAATTGTATGATGTATGGTGAAACTGGTGTTTAACCACTATCTATTTGACATTAAATGTAGAATTATATCATATTGGTCTGACTTAGTCATTCCACAACAGAACAAGTTACCATGTTTGATATATCGTATTTTGTTAAATAATTTTAATAACTCCCAGACTGTATCTAGATTAAGATTTCAGTGGATAAAATTTGTTCAGAATATTTTGTATGAATGTGGTCTGTATAACATTTGGCACAACCATGAATTTCATAACCATAAATGGTTAACGATGTCAGTCAAACAGATTTATTTCTAAATGAGTGGTATTCTGATATTGAGAATTCTAGTAAATGTATAAATTATAGATTATTCAAACATAATTTTTGTTTTGAAACATATCTTGTAAAAACTCCATCAAAATTTTTACAATACATGATAAAATTTAGAACAAGAAATAACAAATTACCAGTAGAAACCGGAAGTTGGAACAACATCGAACTTAACAGGCGTGTCTGTACACTGTGTGATAGATCAATTGGTGATGAATTTCATTATATTTTTGAGTGTCCTTGTTTTGATAACAGCAGAAAACGTTTTTTGAAACATAACTATTTACAGAAACATAATATACATTCTACTGATCTTCTTATGAACACTGATGTTAACATTCCAGATTACAAAAAACTTTGTTTATTTATTAAAGAAATTATATTAAGATTCAAATGAGCCAAAAATTGTATAAATTTAATGCTGTGGAGAACCCTATTGAAGTATATGTTTTAATACTGACTCACCCGCAATATTTATGTTAACAATTTATATATCATGTTATTTCGATACTGTCTGATTCTGAAGCCTCATTTATTATGTAATTGTATTATTACCTCATGTTGTCATTTTTGTATGATCTGAGTGAATAAATAAAATTGAAATTGAAAAAAAAAAATGTAGTTGTACAGTCATGTAATATATCTGTGTTTTTCATCATCATGACTTTGTCAGCAGAATTAATAATGGTTGATTTATAAGTTAATTAGAAAATGATTCAAACACACATTCAGACATTTATTGGCTAGACTAATCAAGTTAATTGCCTGCAAATTAAGCAGGATAAATGATGAATGCTTGGAGCTGGGACTCAATTAGCAGTCCCAATGGTGACTTGGATACCAGAATGTCACATGCTTCTTATTAATGAATTGTTTCAGTTTTGATAAGGGAATAATATATTCTTCAGTAATAAATATCTCAAAAGAATACTTCCTGTAATTAAAATTAAAATTAGGTCTGAGGGTTCAAATAGGTGAATTCATACTTTTCAAAATATTAAAACCTTGTGATTCTATTTTAGGATAGGCATATAGTTCATATTGGAAGACTGGATCACATGAAGTCTCGACGATCAATTCACTGTATAACTGTGCTAATTACTGTCAATGCTGAAATATCATCTGTTGATATAAAGTAAGCTCTTGCTTTTATCCAGACAGATTACGTATCTCAAAATTTAAAGTTACATTATTTAAATTAGTGATGAATTCTTATGTTTTTGCTGACAGGAATTCTCTTATGGCCCTGTTTCACACATTATCTTAAATGCTTTTGACTTGAATGTTCGCCATTTATTTTTACTTTTGAGAATTGTTATAATATACAAGAATATGTCTTTAGATGTTTTGCAAAAAATTGAGTGAAGTACAAAATGTATTTCAGTGAACATGGTACAATAAGATGAATGTACTTTTATGTTCTGTTTGCTGAATTTTATTATTTATGTGAAAATCCTGAAAAGTCACTTTGATTCTTACTGATTGGTACATGCTGAAATCAAAGAAAAATGTTTTGCATTGTTTAATATGAGCAAAAAAGGGGCAAAAAAGAAAGAAGAAAAAAGGGCCAGTTGAATGTTTTTGGTTTTGATGTTCTTTTGAAATGCTGAAAACAATGTTATCATTTAAATCTTTTGCTTCATCAGTAATTTAAAAAAAAAGCAACAAACAAACAATAATGTTATTTATTTGAACTGTTTATAAGTGTTATGTCAGGAACAGCAAAAGTTTGGCATGATATCTTGATAAAAGTAATTTAAAAATCTAAGTTGAAATATTGTCCTATATATGTTACTAGTATAGAGCAGTTTAAAGTCTACCTGTGTATCCACTATATTTTAGTTATTTGATATAGAAATAAGGTTTATAGTGAAAACATGATTTTTGTCCATGCTACTAAAGATGACAGGATTTTTCACACCACATGTCATATACTTTTATTTACTGTTTAGGAACTTGTTTGGAAGTGAACATACCATAGAGTGTAACAGAAATACCATTGTACAGTGTGAAACAATTCGACAGAAACTTTTGGAGTCTGGACATTACTTTGGTAAATAATATTGAATTTGTTTGTACATCAAAGTATATATTTAGTTATATAAAGATTTTTGACAAGTTATATGGCCCTATATAAACAGCTGTTTGAAAATATAACCTGAGCCGCTAAGCAAGGGTTATATTGCAATCAACCATTTATATTATTAGTTATGAAGATTTTGATGGTTATATGGCCCAATATAAACTGCTGTTTGAAAGTATAACCCACACCACTAAGTTTTTGAGAAAAAAGTGAGATTTCTTAGAAAATTGACAGCAGCTGTTTATATAAAACTACATAAACATCATGATTATCCAATGGAAAGTCACATTACAAATGTGCAGTATTATAAATATGTATGTACATTAATACTGAACAAAATCAGGAAAAAAAAACATCCTTTTATTGTCTAGGAGATTAAGATCTGGTTTTAGATGCATGAAGATAGAACTATGTCTCCTATAAAATGTATTTCTAAAGGGAATTTCTATAACAGCAAATAACAAATATTGTCATTTGACAAGGCTTAATTCTAACATAACCTGACAATTTCAGTGGTACAGTATTGTTATTACACTATGTTAAGGTTTTACATGCAAGTTCTATCTCAACATTCACAGAAAGTCCACACTTGAAGCTTGTCTGGAATCATAAATGTACATCATATCTAAGTCCAGTAGCTCTAATGTGGATTTTTACTGATCTATTTGTGAACTTTCTTGGTTTAGGTTGTATGTGCAAGGCATAACCACCAAAAGCATTCACTTCAATTTTTATACATGTTCAAGATCATTGTTGTAGGTCACTAGCTAAGACACATAACTCTATCATTGAATTTTATTCAAGTAACTCCATAATTTTTAAACTTAAAAAAATATGTCAAGGTAATGCATGCAAGTTACATCCCTAAAGCCATAGAAGACATTCTTTTAAAACTTTATACATGGACATAATTGTAGTTACATACCATGACCCAAGTGGAAACTTTATACATGGACATAATTGTAGTTACATACCATGACCCAAGTGGAAACTTTATACATGGACATAATTGTAGTTACATACCATGACCCAAGTGGAAACTTTATACATGGACATAATTGTAGTTACATACCATGACCCAAGTGGAAACTTTATACATGGACATAATTGTAGTTACACACCATGACCCAAGTGGAAACTTTATACATGGACATAATTGTAGTTACATACCATGACCCAAGTGGAAACTTTATACATGGACATAACTGTAGTTACATACCCAAGTGGAAACTTTATACATGGACATAATTGACGTAAAATACCATGACCCAAGTGGAAACTTTATACATGGACATAATTGCAGTTACATACCATGACCCAAGTGGAAACTTTATACATGGACATAATTGTAGTTACATACCATGACCCAAGTGGAAACTTTAGCATGCAATTTCACAGAAATCTTCTAATTTTATGGAATTTATAAAATTCCTGCATGGCTCCAGTTGTGTATTGTTTTTGTCTGACATGGTGTATAAAATAACAGTTTTAGTCATACTGCTACATGTTCTGTATTCAGTATCTGTAAAAATAAGTTAACTTATTGCACTGGTAAATATAATAATAATTATGCTAATGACCCGTACAGCTGTTTATATTAATATCTATTTTGCATTTCCTGCTTGAAGTAGGAGGACTGAAAATTAAATTGAATAACAAGTGAATGCTCAAGGGAAATCATCTAGAATGTCCACATATTGTCTAGCTATATACTCATCTCTTCCATATTTATTGTATTTCAGAAGAAATCTGCATTTCGTCAGTGCATACAAAAGAAAAGTTATTACGGAGTTTCAAGGAACATATAGAAACAGCCCAGAACCGTATATTATGGTTAAGCAATAAAGAAATGGATGAGCAAGTGGCTAATACATATTCCACATATCTGGGTCACCTCTGTGATCTGTCAAAAACAATGGCAGAACTTAGTAGACAAAACAGCTCTGAGAAATTTGAGGTATCAAAATAGAAGAGCCTCTTCTGGTTTCATGTATTTAGTCAGTCATATAGCATTAAAATGTCCAGTTTAGTTTTCTAATTGAAAACTCTAGTTCCATGTGATTTTGCATTTAGTTGTGTAAAATGTTAAATAGTTTATCATAAGAAATATAGCTATGTTTTACTGGCTTATCTTTAAATAAGACATGTTTTAGTTGCATATGTAAACAGTATTTGAAATCACAGTTTAGTTTTTGAGTATAGCAAGAACATGTACACTATTCTATAACTGGGGCATTGTTGGACATGTTTAGTGGCATGAGCCTGCTTGTTCTGAGAATGTCCACATACCTCCACCTCCTTAGTCATGTACTTGTATGTAGAATCAGCTGCATTTCCTCTATATGCAGTTATGGGCATTCACACACATTTTGTTAAGATTTTCATGTATACATTCATAGAAATCCATGCTTTTAGACTTGATGTTTGTGCATAATACATGTATATAACTAAGTCAACTTAAAGGATTACTGTAAGAACAGCTTTTATTGATATTGAATTATGTATACATATAATGATGATTGCTTATGTTTGATTAATTCTGTTGCCAGTTGGAGCCATGCTTAGTTTTTTAACCAATGTGTTCATAATATTTAAACTGCACACAATGTATTCTACTATCATAAGTTTATTATAAAAGACTGAAAGAGATACGATTTTACTATTTGTTTATTTTATTTTGTTTGTTTCAATGACATTTATATTGATTCATATGTCATAAAATAAAACAAGAATTACAACTCTCTTTTACACAATTTTTGAGTTACTGCCCTTACTGCTCTTCATACTTAATATTTTATCTGGGGCTAACTGAAGATGAAATTTAGAGTTCATGTGATGAAGTATGGAAGTTAAAATACCCCTTTGTTTACATTTTGATACCATTATGACAAATCATTGCACATTCAGCACTATTTTCTTCAGGTGATGACCCTCTAACCTGCTCTAAAACCACTTTTAAAACATTATAAAATGCATGTTTGCCCCAGAATTAAAATGTGTTCATTTCTGAGGCTTAATTTACATTTAAAGGTTGTATAATGATGGGTTTTATCAGTATCAAGTAAAGCTTTACTGATTTACTCCCTCAGAAATAGTTCCTTTATAAATAAAATGGCATGAAAATATGATAATAAAATAAGATTATTGTATATAAAGTGTTGTACAGAAATGTACACTGTATATTATGATGTATGATGATGTTTGGTGTTAATTACTGGTGTTCTCTATTTTCACTGTAAATATGTATTTTGTATTTGGGGAATGGTAAAAAAATGTGCCATATGCATCAAGTTCTTTATATTTATTTAAAAATTGCTTAAGGTCTTAAGATTCTCATACTTAAATTCAAGTTCAGTTGTTGATATCAAAACCATTTGCTAATTATGGTTCAAAAGTTTTATGCTGTCAAAGTAATAATGAAGAGAGAGAATAATCACAAATATAGGAAAGCTTATATATTTTAATTTTACCCTTAAAGGGACTCCACTGAGATTTTTTGACATGCTGGGTCTAAAAATATTTTTCCGAGATTTAGGTCTTACCTATTAACTTTTGTGTAAATATTTCTCAGCTCATTCCCTAATCTATTTTTTCCAGGATTATCAATTTTATAGTGAAAAGTAACCCAAAAATGAAAAGCCTTGCAATGCTTTTCACTCATTCAGCTAAGAATCACATAAACTGATTTTTAGTGTAATTCTGAGTATATTTTTTTGTTATCCTTTGCAGATTTTTCCATTTTAAGCTCTTCACTTGATATATTTTTTTTATATTTTTTTATGTTTTATGCCTTTGGACCTCAGTGGAGTTTCTTTAACCTGCTTAATTGCCCAGATTTAAATTTGTCTTAAATTGAGCTCACAAATTGAGCTAACAATAGTGTAGAGACTGGCAAGACTGGTCTGACTATTCTGGTGGCAAATGACTTTTGATTCCAGCAATCTAATATTATATTGTGTTCCATGTGACATTATTTCATGTTGATTGATTAGATTTATTTGTATTATTTGTATGGACATATCTATATTGCTTTCTACATATTATTGCTTCTTGTTGAAATATTCATGATGTTTTTGGATGAAAATTGGATTATAATATGGCAGATAATCAATGCAATTCTAACTTAGAGGTAGTAAAATTCCCACTGCCAAAATTTCAAAGTTTTTTTTATATCTCTTCTCTTTGATTATTTAAATTGAAATGGAGTAAGTGTTGAAATGATAATTGAAGATTATAGTCTTAAATTTGATATAATAATCTTATTTTGGTTTGGAAGCGCTATTATATTTTCTGTTGATTCTTGTATCTTAGCTTGTTGTTATACATATTGCAGTATTTATTTTGAATTTAACTTTTTTAATTTTATGATGTTTGTTATGAAGAATGATATATTATAGTTTATTACAGTTTTTTTTTGTGATTAAATAAACATTTGAGAATTCATTATCTACTGAACAAGATTTTTTTCAAAAGCAGTGTATTTTTACAGGCTCAGAACAGTAAATAAACTGAAGATTAATATAGTCTACAGTTGTTAGCTCACCTGTCACAAAGTGACATGGTAAGCTTTTGTGATCGCTTTTTGTCCGGCTGTCGGATGTCCGTAAACTTTTACTTTAAACGACATCTCCTCATAAACCGCAAAGCTAATTTCATCCAAACTTCACAGGAATGTTCCTTTGGTAGTCAACTTTAAAAGTGTTCAAAAAATTTAATTCCATGCAGAACTCTGGTTGCCATGGCAACCGAAAGAAAAAACCTGAAAAATCTTCTTTTAAAAAACCCAAAGAGCTAGAGCTAAAATATTTGGCATGAGACATTGTCTGAAGAGTGTCTACCTAGTTTGTTCAAATAAAAGCCCTGGGGTCAAAATTTGCCCCTCCCAGGGGGGTCATTGATTTTACTTATTTATATATAGTAAAAAAATTTCCTTTACAAAACCCAAATAGCAAGAGCTTAGATATTAAGCATGAAACATCTTCTAGTGTCTACAAAGTTTGTTCAAATAAAAGCACTGGGGTCAAAATAAGCCTGGCCCCAGGGGTCATTGTTTTTCCCTTTATGTATATAGTAAAAACTTAAAAAATCTTCTTTAAAAAATTCCTAGGAGCCAGAGCTAAGATATATAGCCTGAAGCATCTTCTAATGGTTGTCTACCAAGTTTGTTCAAATAAGGGCCCTGAGGTTAAAATTGGCCCCGCCCCAGGGTCATTGATTTTCCTTATATGTGTATAGTAAAAACTTAAAAAATCTTCTTTTAAATAACACAAAGAGCTAGAGTTAAGATACTAAGCATGAAGTACCTTCTAGTGAGCGTCTACTAAGTTTATTCAAATAAAAGCCCTGTGGTCAAAATTGGCCCCGCCCGGGGGTCATTGTTTTTCCCTATATGTGTATAGTAAAAACTTAAAAATCCTCGTTTAAAAACCCCCAAAGAGCTAGAGCTTAGATGTACATATTTATCATGAAATGTCTTCTAATGGGTGTCTACTTAGATTGTTCAAATAAACACCCCTGGGTTAAATTTGGCCCCGCCCCAAGGGCCTATATACAGGTGAGAGATTTCAGGGCCATCATGGTCCTCTTGTTTTTCAACAGTTTGTTCAAGAGAACTGTCTAACAAAACAAAACAAAAAGATTGGTTAATTTATCTGGTTTTGTGAAGGTTTTATTTGCTGATACAGAAACAATAGTTATCACATCACCTTGCTTATGTTTGTTAGAGTTAGAATTCCATTTGTATTCATCTGGAATACAATACATATGTAATACAAACTAGAAAAGCTGTACACACATTTGTTGATATATGCCATGTTATCAGATTAAAGCTATTTTAAAAAAGTTATTTTTATAATATTTTTATATTCTTTACTTAAATCCAAATATTCATATTCAGATCTATATAATTTACACAGATAGATGCTTCATATTTCTACAATAAAAGGATTTGAAATTTGAGAATGTTGTATTTATTTGGTTCCCATAGATTAGAATAAATATAGTGCTGGCATATGGGTAAAAATAACAGGAGGAAATAAAACTTGCACCTTGGTATGTACTGTCTTAATTTCTTAGTGTTAGTCTTTCAAAATATATGATTGACTTAGTAATGTCTGATATATTTTAATTTATGAGTCTTTGCTCTGGTTCTACTTTCCCCCCTCTAACAGCCAACATCTTACGACACTTCTGCATTAACATACATGGCTTTGTGTTATGGACTGATGGCCAACATCGATAAACTGTTTTCTTTTGTTACCTTTGATTCAAATTGAAAGACTACCAGAACGCCTCTATTTTAATGATTTTGCATCTGGTATTCAGTAAGTATGATTGTAGTCCCGACTCGTGATGACTTGTTTTAGGAGCCAAAATTTCGAATGTTCGTTTCGAAATATATACTAAACTACGTATATCAGATTGAAAAAGGTTTCATACAAACATCAGGGGCCATCAAGTACATCTGTAAAAATCGTTGTTTTTGTGGTTTTTTTTAGCTCACCTGAGCTTGCTCAAGGTGAGCTTTTAGGATCGTTGAATGTCTGTCGTCCGTCGTCCGTCCACACTTGTTTGTTAACACTCTAGCAGTCACATTTTTTGCCTCAATCATCATCAAACTTTGTAAAGGATGCTTATCTAGTTGATAGCTCGGATGAGTTCGAACATGGGTCATCCCGGATGAAAAACTAGGTCACCGGAGCTAAAAATAGAAAAACCTTGTTAACACTCTAGCGGTCACATTTTTGCCTCAATCATCATCAAACTTGGTCAGGATGCTTGTCTAGGTAATAGCTCAAATAAGGCAGCCCCTCAAATAAGTTACTATATGGGTCATCTCGGATGAAAAACTAGGTCACCGGAGCTAAAAATAGAAACACCTTGTTAACACTCTAGTGGTCACATTTTGCCTCAATCATCATCAAACTTGGTCAGGATGCTTGTATAGGTGATAGCTTGGATGAGTTCGAACATGGGTCATCCCGGATGAAAAACTAGCTCACCGGAGCAAAAAATAGAAAAACCTTGTTAACACTCTAGCGGTCACATTTTTGACTCGAGTGTTATCAAACTTGGTCAGGATGCTTGCCAAGGTAATTGCTCGGATGAGTTTAAACATGGGTCATCTCGGATGAAAAACTAGGTCATAGGAGCTAAAAAAAATCTGGTTAACACTCTAATGGTCAGATTTTTGACTCAATTGTCATCAAACTTGGTCAGGATGCTTGCCTAGGTTATTGCTTGGATTAGTTTTAACATGGGTCATCTCGGATGAAAAACTAGGTCACAGGAGCTAAAAATAGAAAAATCTTGTTAACACTCTAGTGGCTACTGTTTTGATCCAAATATCCTGTAAATTGGTCTGAAAGTTTGTTTTGATGATTTCTAGGTCAAGTTCGAATATGGGTCACCTGGGGTCAAAAACTAGGTCACACTGCCCAAATATGGAAAAACCTTGTTAACATTCTAGTGGTCACATTTTTGACTCAATTATCATCAAACTTGGTCAGGATGCTTGTCTAGGTAATTGCTCGGATGAGTTCGAACATGGGTCATCTCGCATGAAAAACTAGGTCACCGGAGCTAAAAATAGAAAAATCTTGTTAACACTCTAGTGGCTACTGTTTTGATCCAAGTATCCTGGAAATTGGTCTGAAAGTTTGTTTTGATGATTTCTAGGTCAAGTTCGAATATGGGTCACCTGGGTAAAAAACTAGGTCACACTGCTCAAATATGGATAATCCTTGTTAACACTCTAGTGGTCACATTTTTGACTCACCTGTCATGAAACTTGGTCAGAATGTTTGTCTAGGTAATTGTTCGGATGAGTTTGATGGGTCAGGTGAGCGATCTAGGGCCATCACGGCCCTCTTGTTTAAATATCATACTCGTATATTTAAGACAATGTACCAAAGAGTTATCGATTTTATCTTTTTTAATAAGCTTCAGTCGGAAGTTTCTAAAATTCCCATAGCCTTGTCAAACAGTATTTGTGTCCAGTTCCCACGTTTTATATTTATTGCATTTATTAAAGATCCCCCGAGAACAATCATAGCAACACAACATTAAGTGAAATTTGCAAACATGGTTTGATTTAGACTGTCTAGTTAAATTGTTCATTTCACATTTTAAGCATGCCACGTGTGCATATCCTATTTCTAATAAGTGTGATTTAAAAAAAGTGTTTGTTACATCCATTGCTAACTATTTTTTTACCTATACTTTGTTTTCAAAGCATTAAAGTAATCGAAACTGTTATAAAAAGACCAATCAATCAGACAAACTACATGGTAATTTAGATTTGTAACAGAGCCCGTCAATTATAAAATTACATGTATGTCTATGGATATAACGGTCTTTTATTGTAAAACATTGAATGATAGTTACGTGAGTTGTGTACCCGAAACATTCTGTGAATAAAGAATCGTTAGTTTAAGTCAGTTTTACAATATCATGGGTAAGATGTAACGGTCAAATTTTATTTAAAAAATATTTCATTAAATAATGTGACTTCATTTTTGCTAAAATTGTCTTATCACCGAGTCCGTTCTATCATGAAAAGTTCCAAAATAGAACATGACGTAATTCTTCTGAAATCTTGCTATAGTTTTTTTTTTCTTAAAGTGGATTGGTCTACAATTGGAACATTTTCCATCAGTATTTCAAATGTTGATAAAAACGATAGAAATGTATCATTTGGATATTCTTATAAAACATTACTTGAAAAATAAATGTTGATAAAGTTTTAAGTGATTTAGCTATGTCTATGATGAATAATAATATTTTGTACTAGAACAATTTGTTTTATTATGCTATATTAATGTATGTAAATATAGGATCTCATATGTGCTAACAACATCCATATTAAATACTATCAACGTTATTATTTTTTTATAACTTACCTTTCATTATAGACCAATTTACTTTAAGAATATACATAACGTTTTTCTGGCAAATTAACATTCTTTCAAATTGAAAAATATGTAAACGAAAATATTTACGTTTGAAGTCATTGCTTGTGTGACTATAGTTACAACTTGATGATCTATCAATCATTTTGTCATGGTTAAACTACCGGAAGCGTGCATGAACACATTGTGTTTATATGGCCCATTATGAGGCTTTGATGTCTATGATATACAGTCTGTCCTTTACGTAATTGGCAAAGTAATGCGAAAAGACAGGAGCCATAAAACAACTAGGTATAAATATTAAATAGAACAAACAACACGTCAACATGCTGGCAAACATTTAGGATCCTAACTTCCATGTAATTGTAAACTGAAAACCAACTATAACACACGGACAATATAAATTTTTGTACTTAAATTTCCGAGTACTATTAGCGATAAGACTAAATTAAGATATGTTATTGCACAGTGCTGTCCGTACTCTGTCTTGTGCCCTGTCCTGTTTTTGTTTGGGGTCCGCCTGGGCTCCTTGCCACTGGTTCTTGTTGCTGGGTCGTATGGGGGTTGCGTTCATTGAACGCCGCCTTTCCTTGTTGATATCGTTTATCATATTTCTTGTTTTTAAATGTGTCCCCTTTCTTCATTATATTTATACGATTGTATCACATATACAATAACAAATTTAATCAAACAAAATTTTTCATAACTTAGTGCATATTAGGTGTCAATCTATATTCAGATAAATGGTAATTTAAAAAGTACGAACATTGCCTGAACCCCTAGCCTTAGTGAATGTACATTGTATTACATTTTCACAGTTGCCCCTACCCACATAGAAATATGTATTTTTAACACATTAATTGTTAACATAGTTTTCTTCACTTCAGAAAATTTTGTAATACTTTTGCCAAGGGCCAGAATACAACGGAGAAATTGCCCATACAAAAGAAGTACAATTTCTCAACCCCAAAAACAATAAATTGTATAATATTCTTCATAGAACATTTAATCATAGTTAAATATGGTTTTATCGTTTTCAGTTTAGGTTTAGTTATTGGGGTTATATTTGTCTTAAAATTAACCAGAATAATGTTATATCATTCAGAAATGAAAATTAACATACTTTCAGAAGCGAAATAGGCATGGTCAATGATGATGATATTTTTTTATATCAGAAATTATCAAGTCTATGAAAGTATATAAGAGTTAAACAAAGCCCATATAATGCGATAATTCATTCAACAATAATGCGATAAAATTGTAACATAAACTTAATTATATCTTTCTCAATGGAGGAGGGTGGGCAAATGTCCATGAATACATTTATAAAGACTGAGGAGGGTAGTAGGGATATATATATATATATATATATATATATATATATATATATATATATATATATATATATATATATATATATATATATATATATATATATATATATATATATATATATATATATATATTTATAGATATACGACGCTTCGTTTCTTTGTATCCGTTCACGATAAGTCTTATTCTTTCCCAACTTTTTCTGTCAGTAAATTTTTCACATGTTTGTCGTAAATAACAACACAGACAATATTTTGTTTCTTCAATTTACATTCGTAAGACGTTCAATAACCTTACTTTCCATTTTAAAAGAAGTGTAATTCAATCATACAGTTGTCGCATCTAATAAGAATTACACGAAATAACAGGAATTTTATGAGTTATTGGCACATTATAATACACTAACCCAAACTAAAGAGTCTTGTATTGAAAAAGCTAGACAGCGTTCATAATATTCCGTGTTTATATAAAGGAACATTATTTCCGGCAATATGACTGATCAGATAAATAAAAGAATTGTATTATTACACCTAAAACGTGTTAAGGTGAATATATAATAACGGTTAACTTTGATGTATATGTCCTATCAGAAACTCAATTGGCTTAATGAAAACTTTAGAATTCTGAAAACTTAGAAATGTTGTATTCTGCTTAAGCCGGTGCTAGGGGGCGTGGACGTAAGTTTGCACTTGACAGTACCCTCCATGAACAGGCTCAATC